ATTTAATTTTGTATTTGGTGTGTTAGTGTCAATGATTATTCCCAGATCAAATTTGCATAATGTAAAGAGAGACAGTTAAAAAAATCAAATTCAATCCCAAAGCATTTTAAGAGTATAAGATTGTAGATGCCATGCTGTGGGCAGCTTCCAACCCCCTTGACATCTCCCCCTCAACATCCCCTACTCCCTGTCACTCCCAAACCTGCAACACTCAAGAGAGTAAGGCTTTCTTTTATCCTGGCAGACTCAACAGTGAGAGCTTTAAGTGTGAACATGAAGCATAGGAATAATTATCTAAATGATATGAAAACTGTAATAAGGGGCTCAACCTCATCCAATAAACAGAATAAATAGCAAGGAAAAAACCTGAAGAAAATTATGTGGGTGACTTGAGAGGTTTACATACACATCCTTAATTAGGTTGTACTTACCTGGTCCACAAGTCAGCTCAATATTAATTGGAAGAGACGATTAGGAAGTAAATAAGATTTTGTCTCATCAAGCCCAGCACTGTTTCCTTTTCTAAATAACTTACAGCCTTAGCCCCAGATAAAGAAGAGTCTTAAAGAAAGGCCCTAGTACCTGCTGCCGGGCCATATTATTATTGCTTTCTCAGTCTGCTTTAAAAATTATTTGGAACCCAGTCTGGTAAGACAATGTCTAAACCAGAGCTTTAGTATATCAGTATCTTCTACCTTGCTCCTCATGTCCTGACTTCTCTGAGGCATCTGGATGAATTGGCAGGTCCTCAGAAAGCCCAGGAGTGGCATCTGGGGGGCATGCATGTGTTTGGATGTGGTCTAGTATAGCAGAGGAGGAAGTGAGAATCCTTCACCACTGTCAGCTTTGAATGTCTCCTTCCTGTGTCACTATTTCTCCCTATCAAGTACAGAGAGATGCTGGTTTTACTGCTATTTACTGGGGTTTATCAAGCATGGGAAGTGAGGACAGAATGTCACAAAGTACTAAGAAGGGCTCAGAAAATGGTTCTTCTGACCTAGGATGTAAGTTTACAAAGACCTCTTCCTGCTCATCACTTTTGAGTTTAATGAACCTCATCAAATAACAGTGATTTTAAAATTCTACTACAAAGTTTCCAAAACCTTTATAGAAAAGTTAGAAACATCATAGTAATTCACTTCCTTTCAAAACATCTACTAGAGTCTGTACCAGGCACGGGCAACAGAAGAAACAGAATGATGGGGAGTCCTGAGCAGCCAGGTTTCAAGAACTATCCATATGTTAAATAATGGGGTGACTCCCAGAAAATAATGTGCCTTTTCTGAGCTCAGGTTGCTGCATCTATAAAAAGGGTAGAGAGATTGGTGTTGTCTAGGATTTTTAAAACCCTGGCCGAACAATAGAATAAACTGGCTAATTTTTAAAGTCCATGATGAAAGCTGAAATTTAGAAGCAACAACTCTCAGAAGTAAAATGTGTGTATTTCCTAAAGCCTCCTTTCCAAAAAAAAAAAAAGAAATTGCTTTTCATAGGAAGCTCATCTATTGAGAACATTATTGGACACAGATACACAGATGTCTGGAGGAAAAGCACTCAATTTGGATGGCAAGATCTGTGTTAGCCAGGGAAGGAAACACTCTCAGATGATCATTTCTACCTTGATGAAGAGCAAGAGAGAGTTAGTTGAGGATGGAGCAGTTGGAGGTGGCTGTTCTCAGGCATGCCATGAAGTTTTCCTTTCCAAAAAAGCCTCCTTTATTGGAGAGGAGGTTCTTTGGGAGTGATGCCTGGACATGGGCCTTTGCGGTAGCCCTGCTGGGTATTCTGAGCCCCCAAATAGAGACCCAGTACCCTGACCCTCAAGTGCCTCTGGTGACCAAAGTCTGTGGCATCATGCTGCACTGTCTCTCTGGTTACACAGACACAAAATGCTCCTGGGCAGATACGATTCCCATGTAGCCCACCACCACATTTTAATAATGATTCTCTTTTCTCAATGGTACCTTCTACCAAACTCTGGCAGATTCTACCTCACATTGTGTCCAGATCACACTGGCATTTATTTGGAAGACCCAAGTGCTTCATCTCAGACTGTCTTGAAAGGAATAGTTAATGTTATAGCTAACTTAAAAAAAATTAATGAAGGTCAAAGTTAATCTGCCCTCTAGAGTTTTTTAACCACTTTGCCAAAAATTATTTCAACTTACAAATATTCTTGTCAGGAGTTGATGACCAGAGACATATTAAGTCAGTTGACCTGTTTCACTTCAGTCCTGGCAAATATTTAACCACACCTTCCCTGTCAGAGGACTGGCACTTTTTAGTAGACAGAAGTTGCTGATTTTTGCCTTTGTCCAGAATGTGGGCCAGTTTGTTAAGGGGACAAGGGGTAAAGAAAGCTCAGGTTGGCCCAGAATGATCATTCCGCTTGATAAAACAGACACTTGGCCTGCGACAACTCTACCCCTCTGTCTAGACAGGAGAGTCAAAATATTTGAGGGCAAGTATTCAAAGTGGACCAACGGCTCATGGCGTCTGGATGAAGTAGGGGGACTCCCACTTATTCAATATTTGGTTGTAATAAAAAGGAAAACTGGTCCCCATTTGGCCGATTAGACTTGGAAAGAGGGACTCCCCTCCTAGTGAAGCACTGAGACCACGTGGCAGGCGAACCCTGAGCGCGGTGTTGGCTTCATGGGCACGCAACTGGCATGGCCACATGGTGCTGGAGGGCAGAGCCCAGGGTTTAATGTCCCGCACTAAATACACTGCCGTCCTGAAATTCTTAACAACTTTATCCTTACATTTGTAAGGTGTTTGGAAAATGAAGTCTGAAGGGACAGTGGGGCACATGAAGGGGGCTTGGAGCCACAGCCCCCACGTGGCCCACGGCCCCGTGTCTCACCTCCTGCTGCCTGGACAGGATCAGATCCCACTCCCCTGCTCCCTCTCTCTGGTATCCTGGTCAGCCTGACCTCCTTTCCCCAAGCCCTGCCTGGGGCGGTGACTGGGCTGCATTTCATCATCACCCTCCACCCCTGGCTGGGGCATGGGGGCAGGCAGAGGGAGGGCCAGGGTCAGGTGTGTGCCCTGTAACATTTCAGAGCAGGGCAGTAGCTGTCCCTGCTTTGGGCTAGCAGTGCCATGGAGTGTTCCATGGGTGACTTGGTGGGAAGTCTCATCCACACCGGGTCCCAATCATGTCCCAGGGTGCAGACAGCAGTCCCTTGGGGGTTGTCTGTCCACTGCAAGTTGGGGCTGTCAGCCACGGGAAGGGGGACTGATTTCCCTGCTCCTGCCAAGGACCTACATTTTCATTTCACACTGGGTCCCACACTGACCTTGCCTGACCTGATTTCCCACAGATGGCTCTGGATTTGATAGAGCGCTGTGGGGCTGTGAGGCTGTGGAGGGCTGTCAAAGCTCAGTGTCCACATGTTCACTCTTCTGGAGCAGAGTGAAATCTGCCTCTTCAGGTTTTAATTTACTATAAAGCTCAGAATTTTTTCTCTACTGTTAAATATCATAATGTACATATATCACATATTAGCTGTGTGAAGTAGGGCAGGATGCTCGCGGGCTCCATTCAGGCAGCCCATGAGGTCACTAAGTGTTCCTCTCTACCGATTATTGTGGACCGGCCACTTCATCTGCAGGCAAAGGGAGGGTCAGGGTCGGGGTGCCCTGTAACATTTTAGTGGAGGGTGAGCTTGTATGGCTTTTAATTAATGCGTGGTGCCAGAGGATCCACATGGTATATGGTTCAATCCTATGCTGTGAATGGGGAACTGGGCTGGGCTGCCCACCCTTAATGACCTTGAGGGGGCGGGTACATCCCTTAATGAAGATGGATGAGGAGCCATCAGATCCCCATTTCCCTTGGTTCTCTACAGGCCAGGACTAACTAACATGTGTTTTGTTTTTCCAGGCCTTGCTGGAGGTTTTGCACATAGCATTCTTTTCTTTCAAATATACTGCTCAAAATTGGTTTTAATTTACTATATAGCTCAGAATTGATTTTTCTGTGAAAGTACTGTGAGAATAGCTCAGTCAGCCATTCTTGGTGAAGAAAGTACTCTGGGTGGGGGGATGGCAGAAGAAAGGAGAGAGGAAAGAGGCAAGAGAGGAGGCTCACTGCACATTTTTAGACTGTAAGTGGTGTGAAGTGACTTCCCTTGCATTTTTCATGTGCTTCTCTAAGCAAAATTTCCTCTCCAAACTCAGAAAACTTTGTGGCATGCCCGAGAACAGCCACCTCCAACTGCTCCACCCTCAACTAACTCTCTCTTGCTCTTTTAACACTTAGAAGCAAACTTGTTAGAATACAGTATTTCTAGCATTTCCAAAACATGTGGTATAGTTTTCTCCTGGCTAAATCTGCCAGCCATGTAGGGAGAAGTCCAGGATGAAAGCTGAAATTTAGAAGCAACAACTCTTAGAAGTAAAATTTGTATATTTCCTAAAGCCTCCTTTCCAAAAAAAAACACAGAAATTGCTTTTCATATGGAGCTCGTCTATTGAGAACATTATTAGACACAGATGCACAGATACCTAGAGAAAAAGCACTCAATTTGGATGGCAAGATCTCTGTTAGCCAGGGAAGGAAACACTCTCAGATGATCATTTCTACCTTGAGCTGGGAGAAATGCTAGTTACCAATCAGATGAAACAGAGAGTCAAAAGTAAGATATTTTTTTACCAAAGGAGTTAGAAAAACATGTCTTAATGGATGCAACCCAGAAAGGAATATAATAAACAGTAGTTAATTACAGAAAGCTACCTGCTATTATTAATAATAACAATAGTTACTGTGTCTGATCTCATAGTAATTATTTAAAAAACCCTGGGAGGAAGGTTTTCTTTCTCCCATTTTATTAGAGCCAGAGCAGAGATGCACAAGGGCAAATAAATTCGAGCAGGGCACCCAGCCAAGAACTGGCAGAGTTGGGATTAGGCCCAACGACTAAGTGTCCAGCTTCCTACTCCTTGGCCGGGCTTGAGACCGAATGTGGGAAGCCACAGAATGGGTTTCTGATTACCATGGCTTTGTTGGAATGACCTCCTCCTTGGAACTCAAGGGTCCCAAAAGCATCCGTCGGGCTGAGCTGCGTGTGCTTGCTGATGGACCACTTCTCAGACTGGAGGTCATTTCGCAAGAGGCGACTTTCATTTTTCTCATTCTGAAGAATGGAGATACTGGGAGTGAGGCCAACATGCTGGCCTATTAGACGCCCGCAGCAACACCTGTAACAGAAGAGCTCAAAGTGAACCCCCTGAATTAGTCACCATTGGAATAGAGCAGGGCAGCCTGCTGGAGAACACAGACCAGAGCAAGGCAGCCAGTCAGTCATCAAGTGGAGTCCACAGTGTGGCTGCACCCGGCAGGTGGGGAACTCAGGAGCTGCTCGGCACAGCTGTTATTTCTTCCCTGCCCCCTCCTCCCTCTCTGTTGGCTGGATGTGCCATAACATGCCTCCTGGCGTTCCCCACACACGCCTTTCACATGGGTGTATAATTCAGGATTGGGACCTAAGAACAAAAGCCCTGAGAGTTTTCTGCTTCTCACTCCCCCATCCACCAAACCTTGCACGAAGGACACTGAACAGCTTTGAGGGCAGAATTTTAATGTGCACATTTGAATAAGGAATCTCACTCATATGTGAGTCACAACCCAACTTGTCTTTCCCCAACTGACATTCACTGTCAAATACCTAATTCTGAGAAAAATCTGCAGCTTACTTGCTCTTTAAGAAACAATGAAATAATTATTCACAAGGTGTTTGAAAACAAAATTCTCTCCTTACATAATGAAAATGTCCTTCATACTTTACTCCTACCACTATTATGACTATTTGTGATAATACTGATACACAGTTATCACTTACTAAATACTAACAATGTGGGCATTCATTTATGTGGGTAAAATGTTGTAGTTTTGAAGGTTAGGTAGTCTGCTCAAGGTTACACAGCTACTCCAGATGACCCTAGATAGTCTAGTCCATATAGAATCTATGGTCTATATTTTAAACTGCCTTAATATATTTTCTTTTCATAAAGGCATTTTGAGACATTTGTATGTTACTTTACCCCAAGTGCTTCCCACCTTCTATACTCTTGATCCTTAAGGTAAGACCAGGAAGGTAGGGAGGATATGAAAATGTGCTTGGGTAGGAATCCAAAGGTCTGTGGTCTAATTAGTGAACTGCTAGGAGTTTTTTTTATTTAAAAATTTCTTTTTTACTATAGCAGAGCGTGCTGGTACAAACAGCACTTTGATGAAATGTTTAAAAGGGAAAACCAGTAACCATATTAAAAATACATATGACCTATTTTTAGAGACACAGATTAATTCCTTCCCTGACAGTGTATCTGTCATTCTGTATAGGATTTTAGAGAATTAACTGCAGGCAAGACCTATTATGTGGTGTATATATATAAGATTGGTTCAAAGATGTCCAACAACAATAAAGAAAAAAAAAGATCTTTAATTCAATATTAGCTCCCTTGCATTGGATAGTGATTGCTATTATAGTTTTGTTCCCCTAATTGCTACTTCATATTCTCACTGCATTAGAGAGACAGGAGATTACCTATGGGGGTCTTTGGTGCTGGGGATGATGTGAACACATTCTCTTTTATAAAATGCTCTTTCTATCCAGGATTTCTGAGCCTGAAAAATAAAAAAAAAAAAAAAGAGGAAAGGTAAACATAACTTTTAAGAATTTTTGACTAGGAAGCAAAATTTCACAATCACATAATTGAGTAGCATCTCACAAACTGAACTGAAATCATGGTTACTTTACACATAAACACTGCATATAACATAATCTATTACTCCTAGAACATGCTGATTAGGTTATTTGCTATTATAATATTGAGAGTTAAAGGAAATAGCCATAATGAAAAAAACTGTTAGTAATGGAATCATATACAAATCCATAATTACTTTTGAAGGCCAGGAAAACAGTGCTAAATAGTGCTCTTTAAATAAAGAGGAAATGAAAAACGGAGTATAACATTTTCATGGCTGACACTTCCATTAGATTTTCCCTGTAGAACGAAAGAAAAATGGTGAGGGAATTCTGTAACTCAGGAGCTCTAATCCATCACCACACTTTTTCTAAAATCCAAATTAGCAATGCTTAAATACAGAGGGAAAAGTGGAAATGGAAACATAAGAGAGATTAATGTTTTCATCACAGTCCAAAATATCACAGGTAATGCCTTTGGAACGAAGGAAGATTGCACCTCTTTTGCAAGTGTGTGTGTGTGCGTGTATGTGTCCCACATGCCTTTAATCACAACAGATACAGCTTCTTAGAACAGGCATTTGTTGGGACTGTCCACCCAGAAGTCTGGCCACTGAGATTGGATTCCCAGGAGGATAAAGGCAGTTCCGGCAAACGGTACCATCTTTGTTTCAAAGCAGAATGCCCATCCTGCATCCCTTTTACCCTTTTCTTTACCAGCAATTGAAATAGTAGAGGAATCTCCCATGAAATCTGGTGAGCTACTCAGAAGATTCCTTCTCATAGCATTTAAGATGGAAGTTGCTAGAGCATCCTGTAATGTTACAACATCTAACTCAGCATCAGGACTAAATAGCATAGCACAACTGAGCTATTTATTTGACCTGTCTCAGTGCTTGGTTGTTTGTTACCTGTTACAGACCCCATTTGTTGGCCATAATTGATACTGACTCTGCCAAGGACCTAAATGTTTGTATAAACTGTGCTAAAGTGTGGTAGCCCTCAAACCCTGCATCTCAGATCTCCCTCTTCTCTCACAATGCAGTCTACACTAGCATGTGTGCTGAGGGCAGTAGTTGTTTCATACTCACAGCAAAGCAGATTTTAAAAGTAGCAGCATACAGAGGGATGCTTGAGGGGTACAAGGGAACTGCACCCTGTTTCAGTCATGGTCACAGTCAGGTCACTGAATTTCTGAATGCTTATGCACTGTCTACTGGAAAAGGAGCTCCTGCCCTGCCTCAGAGATCCTCCGGTCCTGGTGGCCCTCTGCACCCTCACACCACAAAGGTAAAACAATCTGCAGGTCTGCTTGTCAGCTGGGCATGAAAAAAGCCCCAGTGTCTATTCCCAAAGATTTTCCTTCTCAAATATGTAGGAAAAGCTAGTGGCTACGTCTTTGCAATAGAAATGAATTTAGCAGTGTAGATAACCAGCCTTTATCTTTGTAAAAAGCCTGAGAGTTAAACTATTCATAGGCAATGATTTTTTCTGGACACTGAATACTTTCATTGATAACATCTGTTGGCAGAAAGATGGTAAAAATATTCCTCAGTGGACATTTAAAACCAACTTTCCCTACACCTCAGGGAGGAGGAGAGGGAGTGGGGACTTAGCTTTTTTCTTTGGCTAGCATCCGAAAAGATCTTTTGAGGGAGTATCTGGGAATTTCAGGGAGGACTGGTCAATCCTCCCTGAGAGAAGGCAAGCACAGCAGAATCACTGTTAGAGTGATTGCACTGTTAGGGTAGAGCGTGAGGTCTGCAGTTAGAAAAAGCGGCGTGAGTGGGACTCGGCGGCATAAAAGTCACATCATTTCTTTGGTCCTTGGTTTTCCTCATTGGTACAATGGGCAGAACAATAATACCTGGCACACGGAGTTGTTATCATTATTATTTGGGTGCAGCTTTTTACTTTAAGAAGAGGGATGAGACTTGCATTAGTTCTGGTACTAAAAGTTCAGATGAAGGTTCAGATGAGAGTACTATGAAACTGCATAGCAGATCTCACCTAGTCACTGTGTGCCTGTGGATGATTCGCTTGCAGAAGGCCTGAGTGCCCACTAGCACAGTATATAGAAAAGTTATTGAATTTCTCTGAGCCTTTTCTGTAACATGAGAACCATTCTAGCTAATTTGGGGAGTTGCATTAATCAAAGCAGATGACTCAGCAAAAGCACTCGGCACTTAGTAGGGGCTCAGTAGGTCAGGACAATGCCTGCCATTTATTAAGGGTCAATCCTGTGCCTGGAATTGTGCCATATATGTCATATCTCCACAGATCCTCCTAAGAGCCCCATAAGGGAAGGACTGCTATTATATCTATTTTACCAATGAAGAAATTGAGGCACAGAGATGCAGCAATTAAGTTTTAAAGCCAGAACTTGAGCAGTCTGACTCCAGCGTTCACACTCTTACCCGTTTTGCTAAACTGCCTCTCCAAATTAGCTCTCATTGACATTAAACACCCTTCACCTGAGCAGTGCCATCTGGGCATGCCTGGGAGTGCCTTGGTATTTGGACAGAGTTGGACTTCTAGAGGCATATCTTAGAACCAGTTCATACTTGCACCTTCCGCCCCCTCATTTCTCCCATCCAGTCCCCACGAATGGAGTCATAAACACTCTGCTATCTGTTCTTCCTCTGTCCTTGGGATAAAGGATTGGGGCTGGACATCAGGAAAATACCAACATGTGAGAAAGAAGTAAAAGAAGGGGGAATCATTATAATGGCTATAACAAAGAAATGTAATCACAACAGGACTCCCAGCTTGAGAGTCAGGGGACCATGACAGATGGATTAGACTTTTCAAGGGCACTTTAATTATTTCTCTCACTCACAGATCCCAGTTTCAACTTGGAAGGCCCTGGAAGTTTTACTCAGCTACTGTGCAAATTACTACATATGGACTGCTAACTTGTTAGTTATTATGTATAAAGTAACTTGACTTATGTGCAGTTTAGCAACTGAATTACCTTCTGAAAGGTGAAAACCTACTTCATTGTTAACAAAGGGATTGAAATCAGTTTCTTTTTCTTCACAAATTAACCATGCAGATTAACCATTTCCCTTTTCCCTTGCAAAGGCACAAAAAATTGGGTGAGGAAGGAGAAGTGTAATATTTTAAAAAATGTTTGAATTCTTCAAAATTGAATTGGATTCTCTTCTTTTTGAGAAGTATAATACATAATAGAAAAATATGCATGTATAATACATGAATTAGGGGTTCTACAAAATATGCATAATATACTATGCTCTACTGTGGGCTTTGTTTATCATGCTTTTATTCAGTGTGGATAGATATCAGATTTTTAAAAATTATCTTCTTGGAGAGGGCAAGTTTGATGTATAATCATGGTTTAACTTGTTCCCCAAGCAAATTCCCTTTTCTTTTGTTCAAAGGCTTTGTACTGCTCTGCGATGGCTTCCCCATCCAAGTCAGCTCAGAATGGCTATCCTCATTGTTAGAAAGCATAAAATAGTTTTGACAAGCCATGTTTCTCACTGACCCTTAATTCTCTTCTAATGCAAAAACACTTCAATGGACAGTGTGTCCTAAAATCTTTTCTCTTTAAATATGCTTTGAAAGTCTCATGTACTCTTAGAAGAGTTGGCTCCTATCAGCCCTTCGAAAAATCACTTTTGTACTTTCTTTTCTGAAGGTACAACAGTCCCATCACCATTGCTGAGTTTGTGAAGGTTACTTTCTTTCTTGTTTTTCTGCATTATCAGTCATGTGTGATGTATAACAGGGAAGTGTTTTTCAAAGGCTAATAATTAAAGGACACCTTATCCAAAACATAAATGAGGACATGGACATTTTGAACAAAGTGTAACAATTACCTTCAAAGAATAAAAGAAGTACTAACTTTGAAAGTCAAATGTACAGCCAATAAAGCACCCAAATGATAGAAACAAAAATCCCTGTAAATACGGCCTTTCAAAGAAAATAAAATTAACTGGTTTCATTTAAGCAGGGTTCAACTCTTTTTCACAAAGACTCTGCTATAAATTCCACTCCCCCAAATTCCTTTGACATCTCTTACTAGCTCCTCACCACTGGCCACAGAATCAGCTTCTCTAGGCAGGAATGCTTTGTAAGTACACACACAGAATAAGTATTCAATCTGTCTCCAGGAAGTCTTGGGAAGTGCTATTATAATCCACCCTGTAGCAGGACCATTTAACAGAAGGACAATCAGACCAACAATGACAATATTAGAAAAAAGAGTCCACTGACTTTACAGGAACAAATGACGAGCAACATTTCACTACGTCCCTCATTGTGAGACTCCCATGGTTCAAATGTATATTCTGTCCTCATCAGGACAAAATACCAAAGACCCAGAGGTACCAAATGCCTGTTCATTTTTGGATTTGCTCTCCCTCAACATCTCCCTGGCCATTCCTTTGGTCTTCTTGTAAATCCCTAGATCCAATATTGGGAAGCTGACCGAGAGGAAAGGGAGCTGAAATCCTTTTACCTGAGCACTGACTCTGGGTGGCACAGGAAGTCCTGCGAGCAGCTTCTGTGGCCTTCGTTTTGCTGTGTCTGGGGCTGCTCGTCCCGTTAATAATGCTCTTATGACCGCCCACTGGAAAAAAAGGCACCGGCTCGGCTCTTCCCCCAAGAGACGTTTCAAGTAAAGCAATGAACTTGGGCAGATTAGCCCTTTGGAATGTGCCGCTTCGGGATTAGCCGCACTAGAATCCCATGGACATTCCCTCGCAGCCCACTAACAGGGCTGGATTTGAACATCTAATCTGACGCCAGAAGAAAAACAAATCCCCAGAGAGATCGGATTTAACTGGCACAAGTCCTGACAGGCTCTTCCCCCTTTCCTTTTTCCATTTTCAGAGAGAAGGCTTGTGAAACTGTGATAAGGTGTTCTGAGTTCTGAAAAGTTCAACTTTAGAAAGCA